CTGAACCATAGTGGGGAGTTTCTCGACTCCCTTGGTATAGTCCAAGGGATGTGGGGTGCGGTAACTTTTAAGTATAAATTTCAGAATGTGTCTCAAGCCGTTTCAATTGAGGACTCTGGGTCTATTGCCCAATCTACTAACGATGCTGAGTGCATGATATCTGGTATGTTTGCTTTCCAGACGTTAGGTCTGGATTGAGATGACGCGTGCTCGTGATTGACAGTTATATTGAAGTCAAAAGTTAAAACTGTATGATCACTTTTACCTAGGGGTGGCATATAAAGGAGGTTTGCAACGTCATCCTCATAGTGAGTTAATATAGGATCTAGTAAGGAATATTCAGTGTCCGGGTCGTACCTAGTCGCTTCTTTCACATGTTATAACCACATCAACTAGTTCCTGCTCGAAGGAATTATCTGATGATTTGTTTCGCAGATTTCCCCAGTCTACCATAGGTGCATTAAAGTCCCCTAGGATTAGACATCGACCACTTCGTGACCAATTTTTGAGCCAGTTTAGCAGGACATCATTTACCTCACAGCTTGGACTGCGATAGACCAAACCAATCAGCAGCTCTTGCCTCTTGAATGTCAAGTGGCAACTAGCCAGTTCACACGTCCCACTTTCATGGGATTCACTGTCAATAATGACAGACGGGATAGCATTCCTAATGAATAGAGCTACTCTCTCTCATTTACGCTTATGTATTCTATCGGTCCTTACTAAAGTAAAACCCTCAAATTCGAGTTCCATACTATCTAGTGACTGCGATTATGTCTGGCTCTGTAGAGTCAATCTGTTCACCTAGTTCCGATCGCTTATTGAGCAAGCTTTGGGCATTAGTGTAACAGATCCGTAGCCTATCTAAGTGGCTTCGTGCTTCACCCAGAGTGGCTTCGGAATCTTTCTCTGACGAAGCCTCACAACCCGAAAATTTACAATTTTCAGGCCCTTTTCGCCAGTGTCTAACCTAATTTGTAGTTCTTTTTCGGCTTCCCGTCTTTTGACACGGTCTGCCAAAGGCAAGTCCTTTCGGATAAAAACTCCCGAACTCTTTAATCTATGTCCATTCTGTAAAATTAAGTCCCTTTCATTCGAAGATTTGAATACTACTTTGAGCAGTCTAGATTGATTAGGCTTCAAGTTCGCCAAACTACCTAGTCTATACACATTTAGCAAGGTGACTGCGGAGATATTTTGAGGCATGAGTTGATTAAGTAGCTGTTTTATCAGGACAATATCATGCTCAAAACGAGTTTTTGGTTCGGAGCTTTCGCTCTCCTTGATCCTATGAAAAATGACTGATCTGTTACTGTGATCAGCCTTCGATTTTTCGACTACATTTGTGGGGGCAGGGTTCCTTTTTATATCGTTATTCTGTTTCTTCCTCACAACCTGTACCCTTTCGTCAACGTTGCTTGGAGAAGCAACCACAGTCGCGTCAAACATATGTAGAATTATGGTCTACTATGATATTAGCACTGCTCTAATAATAGACCTACTCCTAAAATTGTAGATTTATCATGATGTAACTACCTAATCTATAAGATCTTGCGTGGAAGTTACATCATCGTATACACCGATTCATTGCATTGTAACAATTACCAATACGTGATAGAGAACGAGCTTAGGCTAGAGATAGAATATATTTAATATGAATAGACGGCACAAGATAACATTCAGATGGGACCACGCCTGCAAGGCCGAGCCATGCCATCCGACCAACTAGGACTAATTCCATTTTTCTTCTTCCCGCCTTCTCCATTCTTCTGTATTCCTCCGCGTTAAATGTTTAATGTCTATTTCTCATATTGTCTCGTGGTAGGGCCCAATGCCAGTACACATACTGTTGAAAATGTTTCAAGCCGGTAACTTGAAGGAACAATGCCTCAGCCTCCTTTGAAAATAGATGTGATGCGCTCCACAGGGTAGCTTAAATTAAATAGAACGATCGTCCTTACGGATTGACTAATGACATTACTTTCTGATTAAAAAATAATTGAATATGCAACCTACGAACCTGTGAAGCATTAAGTAACTTAATTGGCTTGTTTGTAAAATTTTTGGTGAGATACATCAAGTTCCTTTGGAGAGTCAATAAGAAACGTTGCCACCCCTCGTCGCGTTTTATATGAAACATCTGCGTAGCTTCTAGCTACAGTATTCCGAAAGAATTATTCCCAGCCAAGATAGTGACACAAAAAGATGATATTTCAACGCTAGCTGCAAGTAACTGAGGAATTTATATAGCGTTTCAATTTATTAAAGTAAGCGGACCAACACTGCCTTCAACCTGCCTGCCTGAATAAAAATGGGTTGATATGTTGATCAACTACACCAGTAGCCCCCCAGAGTTACTACCGGTCCCAAACCCGAGTGAAGGAAGAGTGTTGGGCATCTGGTTGGCAACCTCATCCTGTAGAAAATAACTGTCAAAAATTGCTTATCAGAAACAAATCATTCATAGCATTCAAACTATGCCTACGGAGTTGAAGGATCTTCATTCAGAAGAGTTATTGACACCTCATGGTGAAAGCCAAGTTCTTCGGAAGTCACGAGGCCGATGCCCCTTATAACAACCAGAGCAACAGTAATATAAGCACGTCAAATGTCCAAACAATGTCTGAAACCGCGAGGACCCCTCAAATAGCTGAGGAAATAAGGAGATAAAAAATGGCAGTGCTCTTAATAAGTGCTACCAATTGAACCCAAGCTGGAAAAAAGATATTAGCTTCAAGAGAGGTTCTGTTTTACTCTGATCATGAAGGAAACAATGCTTTGCACATACAAAGAGTTGTACTGATCATATTCTGAGAGGCACGAAGAGCGCTTACAGGATAGCAACCGCGTGGATCCAGGGTTAGCAAAGCACCCTTCAAAACAAAGAAGGAGAATATTACAATGAATTTTATTTAGCACTATGAACCCACTAATGAAAGCAGCAAAACGATAGGGATTAGTTTTACGAGACGCTGCAATCGATCATAGAAAAGTGCCCAGGAAAGTTGACCATCCTGATGAGAGATCTAAACACCAAAGTCAGAATAGACAACACCAAGTGTGAAGATATGACGGGACGACATGAACTGACTAAGCGTTAAGAACGAGAATTGTCAGGGATTTTTAAATTTATGTGAATTGGACTATGTGATTATGGGTGGAAATATATTTTCCCACAGCCGCATATACAAAGCTACACAAATCTCAGCGGATTACACTGCTAGAAACAAGATCGATCACATTTAAGACAATATAAAATTTCGAAGAACCATGAAAGACGTGAGAATAATGAGAGAAGCTGACATAACTTCAGATCACCACCTGGTGGTGTCCAAGATGAAACTGGAGCTGAAGAGGCACTGAGCAACCGAAAAATGCAGTAAAAAGATTCAATACAGTCCTTACTAGAGCTACTAACAAATTCAACCACGTTGAGATAGCTTTCAACAACAAGTTCCAAACCTTACAAGATATACTCAAAGAAGAAACTACTATGTAGGACGATTTCAGATGGGTCAAGAAAGAATTAACGTCAAAATGGCAGGAGGTTCTGGGCCGTAAGAGTCATAATCATAAGAAATGAATCTCTCCCAGACAAGATTCAAGAAAGGAAGAACAGAAAGAAAACAGTTATCAGTGGTTGGACAACAACAGACCAAGTCGAGGCAAAAACTAAAGCAATCTGTCGAGTGAGGGGGGATAAGTTGAAACACCAGGAAGTCTCAGCGATTACAGTGGGAAAAAGTGTGACAGAATAAATGTGAGACGACTATGTGACAAGATGAAAAATGTTGCTGAAAAGTGTAATGAACAAGAGAGATCATGTGGTGCTTGTATGATATAATGATTCCGTTGCACGTGATGCCTGTCTCATTTCGAATTCCAAATACAATACTTTCGTTTTTGTTCAACTAGTTACGTTGGAAATGCCGCAGGTATTCGGAGTTTGACAACGCTTTGACCAGTAATACCTACTATGAAACGTACACACCAAGTGAAATCAAAAAGAAGGAATTAGGAGGTTCGAAGATATATTTTATAGACTATCACTATATCGAGGATCGTCTGATCTGATCTGGCTAGCGACTGCAGGGATTGTTGAGCACGGCGTTCGTACTCGTGATCTGGTGCGGATGCATGACCGAGCGCCTTCAGCTAAGTGAGTCCATTAGAACTAATGTGGCCAGCATTCAATGTCGAAAACGTACAGAGCTATTTATTTTAAGGATTTATTTACCGTTACATCGTCTAGTTAGATTGCATTTTGTGCATTCCTAGTTTTTTCAATAATTCAAATACTTCTAATTGTCACATTGGCTTCGCGATGGAGCCTGTGATGGAACAGTTGGACTTACTGCTTCTGAGGATTATATGGAAATGTTCGAAGTCTGTACTATGACCAAGTAAGATGTTGGGGATGTTATTATTGTGGCTTACTTACTTACATTAACCAAAAAAGTTGTCTACAGCTCATTATAGACTGACATTTCTTGAAGGTCCGATTTCACTTCCTTATACAACCCTCGAGGAACTACTATTAGACCACGTAAATTTTACAGATTACCAATGCTGTAAAGGAGAAAAATTTCATAAAATGATTTGTGATCATATCGAAAATTCTACTACATTACTTCGTCATCCCAATCCAATGCATTCTCAGAGTTATGCAGATAATTCAGTGACTAGTTGCGATGCTGGTAACGAAGAGGAGCAAAAGTTTGGCAAATGTTTATCTTGTGGAAAATTTCACTCATGTATTTCATGTGTATTTTGTAATTCCAAATGCTTTAAATGTGATGAGATTGGACACATACAGGCAAATTGTGATACCACTACTCACTTTGTTGCAAATAATGCTGAAATTTGTAATTCTGATCATATTCAGTTCAAATTTTCAAATGAATCATACTCTAATCATATTTATGATATTATTTTGCCAGATATGAATTTCTATGATTCATGTATTTTTAATGCAATTATTTACAAATATTTGGAAGGTGTGTAGCGTGGTGTCGAGTTGAGCTGAACTATGAACACCGCTACCAGACTACTTGCCAATAGACCAATAAAATCCCGGTAGGCCAAAATATCAGAAGGCAGATGATTGTAGTAGTCGTATATATTTGTTGGCGATCTCGTGGTATCGAAAGAATACCGAGATCGTGCCAAAGGAGTACAGTTGCGATCGGCAAGATAAGATACGTGCGTAGTCCAAAAACCGCGTAAAAGCAATGGAATACAATGGAAGCCCAAAATGGCTGTTATTAGCACAGTTGAACAAACGAGCACAGTAAAACAGTCACTGGTACAATTGGTTATAATAATAATTGTTTTCATCGAACCAATCGCGTTCTGTTGACAAAAGTAGGTCACTACAGGAGCCCCTCGCTAGAAAGGGTTTACACTTTCGATAGTTAGCGGTTTGATTCGTGGGACTGATCGGCAGAATTGCGGTTGTAGGACGGAGGAAATTGGCGGAACAGGAAGTGATCATTGATCCTCGAGTTGCCAACGAAGGTCTTTTGCGCAGAACGGTACTAGGAGAAGTGTGCTGTATTTGTTGGTCGAATTAGCATACCACACCAGAGTGGGTTGTATCCAGGATCTGAAGATTGCGTTCGTAGGGATGTGGACCAGAAAACGCTGCAGACGTAGGACGAAACCACGTTGAGCCAAGAAACCGGACGCGACCATAACTACCAAGCATATGCCAGGCGGATTCGAGACCAGATAATCGACTGAGTGCGTTGACTAGAGCGTGGGTGGCCAAACCAGCTTTCGCCAAAGTTGACTGAAGTCGACGTTATCAAATGGACGATGGTCGGAGGCGTGGGCTCAGGATACAAAAAAAATCAAAAAAAAGAAAAGTGTAGCATGCGTGTAGTATAGGAATAATCCTACACCGTATCCGTTATTGACTGTGCGTTTAGTCGCGAAAGCGTACGGGTAATCGTACTCGGCGACCGAAACGTGAGACGGTGGTCTCGTTCGTACTTCGTGAGCCTGCGATCTCATCCGAGGTCAAGGGCGGCGTGGTCTGCCGATCTGGACGTGAGACGGAAGTCTCGTCCGTAGATGGTGCAGATGACGCGTGCTGTTGACCGGGACGTGAGAACGAGGTCTCTAATGTATCTAGCGTGGGATCCGAGTTAGACGTAGAGATCCCGCTAGAAGGTTTGATAGGTCTAGCATTGAGTCTCAAGTTATCGGGTGGGGCACTGTCATCGACGTGTGCTGGTTTGAGACGATCAATGCTGACGATCTCGACGCGGCCGTGTCGATCAACCTTGAAGGTCTTTTCGTGACGAGAGATCACGTGAAAAGGGCCTTCGTAAGGCTGTTGTAGAGGTTTGCGTACCGAATCTACTCGTATGAAAACATGTGAACAGGTAGATAACTCTCGAGGGAGAGCGACCTGTCGATGTTGTATTCGAGTTGACACCGGAGACAGCGTTCGCATAAATGCAGACAGTCGATGGACGTAGTCTGATTTACCGAAATCATTACTGCTCCGTGGTGTGAAGAATTCCCCAGGCAGACGCAATGTCGTGCCGTATACAAGTTCAGCGGCGGAACATTGGATATCTGCCTTCAAACTCGTTCTGATGCCTAAGAGAACGAGCGGTAAGGTTTCGTACCAATTGTCGTTTTCGTGTGCTCGGAGAGCACTTTTAAGTTGGCGATGAAACCTTTCGACTAAACCATTCGATGCTGGATGGTAGGCGGTAGTGCGTATGCGTTCCGTACCAAGCAGCCGGGTCAGTGAGGAGAATAATGCGGACTCAAATTGTTGTCCTCGGTCAGTCGTGACAGTCGAGGGACAACCGTACAATGCTATCCATCGTTCTACGAAGCGGTGAGCAACTGTCTCCGCCGTGATAGACGTGATGGGAATAGCTTCGGGCCATCTTGTAAAACGGTCAATGCACGTGAGTATGTGATCATACCCATGCGATGGTGGCAATGGTCCTACAATGTCTATATGAACGTGATCAAAGCGAGCATCAGGCGTAGCGAACGTGCCAATGGGGGCAGCTACGTGCCTGTGCACTTTTGATCGTTGACACTGTAAGCATTGCTTTACCCACATACGAACATCTTTATTCATGGACGGCCAGACGTATCGTGCAGCGATGAGACGTAATGTGGCTGCGATACCTGGATGAGACAATCCATGAAGGGCATCGAAGACGAGACGGCGATAGGTAGAGGGTACGATGGGTCGAGGTAGACCGGTAGAAATATCACATAGGATAGTACCTGAGCTAGTAGCTAGGGGTACTTCCTGACACTGAAGGGACGAAGATTGTGGTGCTTCTGTACAGACAGGATCGTTTGCTTGCGCGGCGGCCATAGCAGGAAGATCGAGCACCGGTAAAGTAACTGCATTCGTCTGGATACGTGAAAGAGCATCGGCAACGTAGTTCGACTCGCCTTTAATGTGACGAAGGTCTGTCGTGAACTGGGAGATATAGTCCAAATGTCTGCACTCTCGTGGTGAGTAGCGGTCAGACTTGGTATGCAGGGCATACGTTAAGGGCTTATGGTCGGTGAATAAAATGAATTGACGTCCTTCTACTGCGTGCCGGAAATGTTTGATGGCGCAGTAGGCTGCAAGCAGCTCGCGACCAAAAGCGCTATATCTCGTCTCCGTGGGAGTAAGGCGTCGTGAGAAAAATTCAAGGGGTTGCCAACTACCGGAGATATTCTGTTGCATAACGGCTCCTATGGCAAAATCCGATGCATCAACCGCTATACTAAGCGTGGCTGATGGGTCAGGATGAGCGAGAAGTGTAACTTCAGCGAGAGCCGTTTTGATCTCTGAGAATGCAGTACGTGCGGTATCGTTCAGTTCTAATTTGCGTGGATTACCGCGTAGTAAATCGGTTAATGGTCGTAACCGTTCTGCCGCGTGAGGGATAAAACGTCGGTAGAAGTTAACCAAACCGAGAAAAGCCTTCAGTTCCTTGATTGAGGACGGCACGTTGTACTCCTTGATTGCTCGAACTTTGTCCTCGCAAGGCAGAATACCCTCTTGTTTGATGATGTGACCCAGAAATATTATTTCTGATTTACCCAATTCACATTTTTCTGGGTTGACTACTATTCCATTATCCGAAAGACGTTGGAATAATAGTGTAAGGTGTTGATAATGTTCATCTACGTTTGATGATGCGATCAGCAGGTCATCAATATAGACGTGAACAAAATCCAAGCCTCGTACTATGCTATCGATAAACCTTTGGAAAGTTTGAGCAGCATTCCGTAATCCAAATGGCATTCGTAGGAACTCAAACAGACCGAAAGGAGTCGTGATAGCAGTTTTTTCGATGTCTTCAAGAGCGACTGGGATCTGGTGATATGCTCGTACCAGATCGATTTTAGAAAAGATAGTCGTGCCCTTGAGCGATGCCGTGATGTCGTGTATGTGGGGGATGGGGTAGCTATCAAAGCGCGTAACTACGTTTAATGCTCGGTAGTCGCCGCATGGTCTCCAACTAACCCCATCCTTTTTGCGCACCATATGTAAAGGAGAGGCCCAAGGACTGTGAGAAGGACGAATAATACCAGAAGATAGTAAATTGTCAAACTCACGTTTAGCGAAAGCTAATTTGTCCGGTGCCAGTCGGCGTGGTCTTGCCGTGACTGGTGGTCCGCGGGTGACTATGTGGTGTACCACACGATTGGTCACCGATGAAATCTCCTCGAGTGGTTTAGTTAATCTGGGGAATTTCTCGAATAAGGCGTGGAATTTATCGTCACGCGAATAAAAAGTGCCGAGGATTCGGTACGCGTACATCGGAGTCTATTATATTAATACTATTCTTATCGTTATCCGTCATGTCAAATATATATATTAAAAATTAATATGGAAATATATGACAGACGTGGATAGATAAGCGATAGACTCACCAAAATTGACTTCTTTGGAAGGTTTGGTTGCGATTGCCAAGTGCTCGTAGATGTAGGTTCACCAGTTGCAGAAGATTTGACCGAAGTTGAGGCGTGTTCCAAAATTTGGGTCACCAAATGTAGCGTGGTGTCGAGTTGAGCTGAACTATGAACACCGCTACCAGACTACTTGCCAATAGACCAATAAAATTCCGATAGGCCAAAATATCAGAAGGCAAATGATTGTAGTAGTCGTATATATTTGTTGGCGATCTCGTGGTATCGAAAGAATACCGAGATCGTGCCAAAGGAGTACAGTTGCGAACGGCAAGATAAGATACGTGCGTAGTCCAAAAACCGCGTAAAAGCAACGGAATACAATGGAAGCCCAAAATGGCTGTTATTAGCACAGTTAAACAAACGAGCACAATAAAACAATCACTGGTACAATTGGTTATAATAATAATTGTTTTCATCGAACCAATCGCGTTCTGTTGACAAAAGTAGGTCACTACATGTGTATCGAGTGCACCGAATCCTGATCAGAAGTCTGACTTTATTTTGTCAGATGTGGTCTGACCTGATGATTCATTTATTTCTAGTGAAACTTAAGTTAAGTTTAAGGTCAAAGTTCCACATCAACTGAAATCTGATTACACTCCTTATCGTATCACAATAGATATTATTAGTTCTCACATTGTATTTATCTCTAGTGATATCTCTGATGAATGCGACAAATCGTAGTCACATTTCTAATGTTATTGTATCGAATGTTGGATATTCCCACAACCAATGTACGTTAAGTAGAATCCCTAGTCAGTTATATGACAAACCACAGGGAACAGTAAGTTATTCCGAGGCAGTCAGAGAAGCGATTTTTCCAGATATAAAGTTTGCACAGGCAGAAAATGCAAATCGAATCCAAGATTATCCTAATGAGAGTGAGGCAGATGCATATTTTCCATTTGATTGTTTTGCAGGTGAATCAAGCCTAGATGAATCACATGTGTTAATTTCACATATAAATGCATATTTATCTGATGACTGGAACAATGACCCTGTGTAGTCTGACTTGAATAGTAAAAGGAATATATGTCATGCTTTCTATGCAAGTGAAAGTCACATGACGGAATGCCTCTATTCATGTGTCAGTGTGTATCCCTAAATATAAAGCATGAGATATGTAAAGATAATGTAAATTGGGAACGTCAAGTTGGTCATAACATTGTGACGTAGGAACCCTGCATTATTACGTGGGGGGGAGGATAGTATTGGAAAGTTTATGGTTCAAATTCTTGATGTCAATAGTTTCAGTATACAACCGACATGGTGATTATATAAAATTCCAGGAACCAGGTGAGCCTGTTCCAATTTCAGTCATTGATTCTAATACTAATAAGCATATTCTGGACCATACAGAGTCCATATCCAATATACAGTCAGACAGACACATGATGAACCTATGGAGAAGTACAATTGATTACACTAGGATTCAAGAACAGAGAAAAAGATAGGCAGAACACTTCGAGGAACTCCCGAATAAATCAGCTCCATTGAATCCACCGCACATCGAAGCAGTACACGTAAAATTCTATAACCGTCACTCTAGTAAAAACTGAATAAATTAAGATGACCAGCAGACATATCAATAGTGGAAAAACAGCGGGACCTGACAATATACCAGCTGAAGCACTGAAGTCCAGTATAGAAGTAACTGCAAATATGCAGCACGTTCCATTCAAGAAGATTTGAGAGGAGGAACAAGTGCCGACACACTGGAAAGAAGTATACCTCATCAAGATACCAAAGAAAGAAGATCTGAGAAAATACGAAAACTACAGAGACATCATACTACTATCGGTACCAGGAAATGTTTTCAACAGACTTTTACTGAACCGGTGAACATTTTATTATATTGACGTAGAGGTTCACGTCTAGCCAGAATGTACTTTGTGCACTAGGGGGACATGCAGATTAGTATGAGGGAGGAGTGTTGAAAAATAGAAGAACAAAACAAGGGTGAATAGACGACATAGCAAACACAATTCACTCATACTTAATAAAGAACGCAATCAACAATGATTGGAAACAACACAAGCCTCAGATCAAGACAATCTTGAAATCGAAACTAGAAGGTGGTCCGATCCACCACATAGGATAGGGTCAAGTTACGCGTCGGCTAGTCTTATTAACGCACAAGAATTTCAACATTCAGTAGTGGAAAGTAAGGAATGTAATAAATGCATCAATAAATAACTTGCCCCACAATATATATATATATATATATATATATATATATATATATATATATATATATATTGAGTATTGTGTGCTGTCTACCTAGCACAATAAGGTAATTTACAGATGTTTCGTACTTCAATAATATCATGTTTCCTACTGTCTAAGAAGCACATACATTCTTCACATCGCAGGTTGTAGCAAGTAATCTATTATTACTTGGCTGTCATTTCTAATATAATGTTTCAGTATTAAATACGTTTGTAAAATGGATACTATTAGCAATATATTTCTTCTTTCGATAATAAACTAATAGCTAGAATCAGTTAAATGTTTCCGGAAATAATATTACTTCCCATACATTAATAAAGGAATAAATGGACTCAATCAGTGTAAATTCATTTACGAATATAATTTATCATCAAATTTTGTCACTCATCTAGGTAAAATGAAGGATTTGGAAAAGATGTATTTGTCAGAAACTCTATGCAGTTCTTTCTCATTATAGATATGAACAGAGCTGAAATAATGATTGTGGTGTAGCACTTCATATCGATTTACGGAATCCATTCAAAAATATTTTAACAATAGCATGACTTCAATGCTCTTAAATGGTGCACGGTGTTTCTATAAAACGCATACCTTTCGGAAAAATATTATGATGAGTGGAAGCAGTATAATCGAATTTGGTGCGCTAATAAACAATTATTATGATTTTCCAACACGTACTCTGGTAGTCACGAACAGATATGTTGTTTTTGTAATTCTAATTAGGCACAGAATAATTTACAGAGTAATTGTTAATTAGCACAGACATCAAAAATATGTGATAGAAATCCAAGTTTCTCGCATTTTTTTACTAAAGAATTTATTAGTTTACAATTGATTAATCACCGCGTAGTGATAAATGTCGTGTATATCAGCTCCTTCTTAGTGCAGATCGAATCCTATAGATTACGTCGCAATGTGCCCACCAGCCTAGGTGACTCGACATTGCGCGCAATTTGTTGAGGTAAGATGGTGGTTGGAGGTAGTCAACAGGAAACCCAGGACCTAAGTTTCATTCTACTTAATACTCTTCAGCAAGGTGTACCTGTAATCTTGAGGGGACTAATGCTTTATGCCCAGTGACGCATAAATCCGCAAGAGCAGTCTAGATTTTTTCTTACTGCCTAGCCCTGTCTGTTGAGTTCAAAACACGAATCTTAGCCTCCGAGATATGAATCATGTATTTCAAACATACTGGGTTTATATACAAGCCAAACAGACCTCGTCACATCATAAAATAGAAAATAACATTTGTTCAAGTTCTAGCTAAAAGTGGCTATGATTGTGGCAGACTGTAATTAATAAACTGGGCATAACTTAAGAATGGTAAATCATACAATAATAGTCTGTAGATCAAAATAAAGCTTATAATTTGATGAATATGAACATGCATAGATTACTTGCTTAACAACCATACAATAAAAAATATATGTACAGTATTAGTCCATAAATAGATCCCATCAGTTACCATTCATTATTCTCTTCGGGATATAGCAATATCTAACTCATACACATTTTGGAAAACTGACAGAAAAATTAAAATTTAATAGATCCATAAAATGACCTGATATACACATCGTTCATGTTATTGATTTACTGTAACAATCTACAAGTCATTTTTGTTTTTTTACTACAAGATTTTTCAATCTGGATAAGCAATTGCTTTGAATTTTCATATGAATGATAAAGAAACCTCGTACACCGAAGATATGTAATCAATAAGAAAATACATTTTTATAATACCAGGTTATTTATTTATTTAACAATTAGTTTACAGGAAATATAATCTGTCAGATAAAGCACTGTGTTATTAACCGACGGTGTGCATAGTTTTATTAAAATTCGTTTAGCGATCACCATCATTAGTCGGATGTTTTGCAAAACATTAGTTTAAGAAGAATATGGGATACATTTTAGAGTGGTATCGACTAGATAAATACTAATGTATCAAGGAACATTGAGTAATCTAAAGATAAAAATTTCCACACATCAAAACCTAGAGGTTTTGAATAATTCCAAAGTAGAATAAAACAGGTGTGAAATGCTTCTTAGTTTCCAACAGATCTCAAACTTCATCAGTATGTGATTAAAATCACTTACCAATTCCTCGTTCGCCACGTGAATGTCAGAATACGGCTTTAATAATGTGTCTGAGAAAGATTGGTTCTACTGTTAAAGTCTAGAACTGTGCATCCATTTTCGGTTCAAATAAAGTGGTTGATGTAACCGATATTAAGACTATAAAGTAAAGCAAATCAAACTTGGTTTTTAAAGCTTGAAATCGTAACTTGTATGTGAAATATTTTTCCACTGAGTAATAAGATTTGTAATACAATAGAAGCATGGGAAATTATCGTAAGAGTTTTCAGAAATGTCATGTAAAGAAAGAGTGTTAAGTATCTGCGTGAAATATGTTCATCTTTGTCAGCCAAAAGTGTTTACTCATTTCATAAATGTTGTTATACACCAGACGTAATTGAAAAGATCATAAGCCAAATCGAACACTTTTAGACTGGTAGTCGAAGTATTAAAAGGTAACAATAATAACTGGAATTTTTCGTCTTCTTTTAAAAGAATTGGTGAAATGTGGGTAGCAGTTAAATCCAAGTTTCTCATTTCGTCTTATTGCGGACTGATTACATTGAATTACCAGGATTCTAGAGTCCATCATCATTCCGAGCATTCAAACTTAATACATTTGCCTCGAACTCTCAACACTTTATCTACTTAGCTACTGAGTCCCAAAAACTACTCACTCGTGAGATCGATATGCATTTTAGTTCAGTTCATAGTTATATGAATCATGATATTGTTGATATTTTGATTGAATTCCTGGAAGGATTGTCTTGATACAGCCATTATGCCACAAGTTTATATAGAATAGATGAAATGTAGCTAGCTCCTGATGATGCGTTGGGTGTTCGAAGTGAAAGTTATTAGGTTCTAATCTCAGGGTAAACATCTCTGCGATGATGAGACCTCTGTCCTGGATTCCATTGCCATCCACATTCCATCTATTTTATATACTTGTGAAATAAGTAAGCTACATACGACATATCAGACTGATATTTGCTTTCTTCTCTTTCTTTATCTCTGAGATTATGTGTTCTGGTATCTTACCCTTATACTCACCGAATTCATATTCTATACAAAATTTTAAAAAGCAAAGACATGGTATTGAGATGCACTGTCATCTGTTGCTAAATTTTAAGTAACAAAAGATAACACAG